ATGGTCATGGTCACGATCATGTTCATGGTCATGGTCACGATCATGGTCATGCTTAAGAGCTTGATATTGATTTGCGTGCAATTCCTGTATTTTTTCTCTTATGTTTTCTCTATGTTTATTATGAAAATACTAGAAAGTTTGTTACATTGACATAGCCCGTCAGATCATTATCTGCCATAAATGATTTATAATGACCAGGGCAATCCTCTTATCGTTGGACTTCTATCGGAAAGTTAATTTGTTTTACAAGTTAGATTTTATTACCAGGACTCGTTAATCCTAGAGAATGGGCGGAGCCATGACCTGTCATCGTTATGTGTTCAATTGATTCAACCCATTTTCTGGGCTGGGTGTACTGAGGAGTTCATCCAGTGTTTCTTCTGCTCCGTTGACACCGATGATCAAGAATTCGAGGTAGAATGAAAGATTGGTTTGGTTTGTGGGCTTAACCCTTCTATTACCACAAGGTGAACAGTGGAAGGTGAACATCTATAACATCAAACTAAATCGTTCGGAAAGAAAGATTGGTTTATGGGCTTAATGCTCTTCTATCTTCTGCTTATGCATGTAGTGATGATTACTGAGAAGAGAATGATAGAAGTGCCAGTGAGAATTGAGTTTTCATTAAAGGCATATTGTGTTTCTTTTGAGTTTTCCTCTGTTCTCTATAGATAACTGTCAAAAAGGAAAGGAAAAGAAAAATGATTAGTGCTCATAAAGCTCATTTATAAATATTATATTCTCAATTTTGCTTCATTTATCAATAATCCTATTCAAGAGATGGCAAATATAAATAAGGATATACAATAACTTGTTTTCTTATCTGCAGAAAGCTTCAGAAATTTTGGCAAATTCCTCTATATAAGCTAACATATTTACAGTTTAATCTCGACAATTATGACTGGTTTTCTGCTGCATTATTTATGTCTTATAGACAATATTAATTTTGGTGGCTGTGTAATTTCGTTTCGGTTTTGCTATGGGTACACTTATGTACCCATAGGGGTGTCCATAATAGCATTTTCCATTTCGTTTTAAAGTGGGTGAGCAATCAGTAATTCTTTGCTTTTTGGGTGAGCAAGTAGTAATCGAAGGTAAATATGGATGGTGAATGATTTTATTAACTCGGGCCATATCCTATCGCCAACTGCACCTCTATAATGACTCTCAATTAACTATTCCCTCCCGCCATCTCAAAAATTTATGCAGATTTCATCTCCAATTATTGGTTTTACTTCCATTCCATGGTTGTCCAATAGTTTATTACAGATTTTCTGGGCAAATTGAGGTAAAAATTATGGGGTTTGTATATTTTTGGGAAAGGCTTAGTTTCTTCAACTCTATATATAAAAGTACTCACAGTATTCCGGTCACATTCTCTTAATCAAATTTCCCATTTAAAGCAAACCAAGAAAATATAAAATGATTACACATTTTTCGGTTGTTCATATTATTAAAGCAATGTGAACTGCAACGTGAGGATAAGGCAGCAAGAATGAAGTCTGTAGAGATATTTGAGGAATAGGAAAGTCTATATTACAGCTCATTCTCTGCCGAGTGATAATCTGATTTGATACAAAGAATATTCCATGAAAATCTGAATTGATAATCAGGGTGAATCAAGGCGAGAATGAGTGGATTGATTGCATTTAGCTCAATCAATCAGACCATATGATAAGAGATTTTTCTCTCTGTAATGGCTTCACTTTCTCTCAACTTAGGCAATTTTATCACCTTGAAGTGAAAGCATGACAACTATTCTTTATGGCGTGAGCAAGAATTGGCTCTTGCCGAAAGTCAAGAAATAGTTGGACACCTTACTGGTGAAGAAATCACCCCTGCTATGTATGCCACTTCGACCACAGAAAAAAACCAATGCTCCACTCATAGTTGAGTACATCTCTTGGCGTAAATCTGACCGCCTTCTCAGAGGGTGGATTATTGGCACACTCATTGAAGAGGCCCTTAGTCTTGTTATTGGCCTAGACACTGCAAAATCTGTGTGGGACGCAATCAAGGAAGCCTATGCACAAGACTCTCGGGAGCGAGAGTTTACACTTGGTCAACAAATGACGTATCTAAGCAAAGAAGAAAACACCACCATTGGTGAGCATATTCGCAACTTCAAGAGCATCTGCGACAGCCTTGCAGCAATAGGAAGCCTTTTACCTGACAAAGTAAAGGTTTTTTCACTTCTCACAAGTCTAGGACCAAAATGAGTCCTTTACTACAACCATGTTGAAGCCTCCAAGCCCAGCCTACGTGAAATTGGCATCACTTCTGCCAGGATATAAACAAAGTCAAAATTAGTTTAGCACCAAAAGACCTACCCATCAAATGGCATTCTACGGACAAAAACAACGTCCTCAACAACCATCAGTATCCAACCAAGGATGTCAAAATCAATTCACCTCCATTTGTCTCGGATTTCAAGCTTATAATTCTAATCACAACATATCCAACAATACAACACATAACTATAATCACCAGCGATGACCGCCTCCTCCCTACCAACATCGCATGACACCCAGTGGCGGACCCAAGATTTTGGGTCAACACAATAAAATATTAAGAGTCTTATTTGATGCCTACTTTTTTTTGTTGCAAAAAGTGCTTTTTGAAATAGTGATGTGGAAAATATGTGATTAAAAATAAGGAGAAGTTTTGAATTTGAATGTAACATTATTTTATTGAAAATGTTCGATTGAAAAAAGAAAAAAAAAAGTATTTTGAAAAAAAAAAAAGGAATCAAACAAGATCTAAAATTTAA